TTACATCATTAATATTTTAGTAGATTTCCTTGCAAACATTATATATTTATGTATATTATGTATATCTACTTATTTATGTGCATCTACTTATTTGTATCTATATCTACCTATGAAGATAGATAAATGGATGGATAGATGATTGATAGATAGATAGATAGATAGATAGATAGATAGATAAAGATATGGAAAGTTCCTTCCTCCTTTTAGCAATTTCTTTTTCTTTAGAAATGGTGTTCATATCTTTTATACCAAATGCAAATACTATAGAAAAAAGACATCCCTTTTAAATCCTTCCCACCAAAGACAAGCATCATTGAAGAGTTTGGAATAATACCAAAAAGTACTTAATTTTATTGACAATAGATTATTGCTAAATTCCTTGGGAAAAAAACATGTAATGTGAACTTATAACTCCTGATTTAGTAAAGATTTAGCTACAAAGAAAACGAAGATGCTGACTTGCACCTAGACACCAGGCATTTACAAACTGACCCCACACCCAACCCCCAGGATGACTAGAGAAATTCAGAAAGGATTTAAGAACCCAGAGGCATATATGGATTGACAGTGCTCTCAGCAGAATCTTGAGCAGGAGGAAGTGTTCATCACAAAGCATTTGAATCTGCTGAATTATGGGAAGAAGACTAAAAGCCATTTTCCTGGGGACCAATGATTGTTGACAAGACAAATGAGATTCCAAGTTTAACTGTAAAATAATCCAACAGACATGTTTTGCTCCAGATATCATGAACACTCTGACTCTTAAAAGAGCTAAGAAATGTCCAGAGGATTAATTATCACTTTCTGCATCATATTCATAAATAAACTTTGCAATCATTGCTGGGTTCTAGTAATTTTATTATCTCATTGCTGATATACATTCACATATTCATGCATCAACCAATTTCCCAGAGGCCACAGTAAACGAAAATCAGTCTAATCACTGATACTCTTGAATCCCAAATCCAAAACATGCTACATGGCTATTTGATTGCTGTCCAATAACTGCCTAGAACTTCTGGCGTAGAAGACGCATTGAGAACAATGACAGGGTTTTGGAAGCTGATATTTAATAAAAAAAAAATGTTGTTCGTTTAATTTCTTATTCAAATTTATATTCTGCAGACCTCAAATTTGGAATAAATTCTCTCTCCATTATTTACATATGTTTCTGGGATAATTATTAATTTCACTAAGCCTCAATTTCTTCACTGGTCAAATATAAAGTACCCATATCCCTGGGGTGGTTGAGAAGAATAAAAATAAAGCATAAATTGGTTTCTGGTACTTAGTAGGTGCAAAAGATTTGTTCATCATCATCATCATCACGTCCCCTCAGACGAAACTGTAATAAACTTCCCTACTTGGAAGGTGATGGAGAAGATTCCTTTCTTAACAGTTTATAAATAGCATAAAACTGGAAAAACATTTGGGTGTTACTTAACTCTCATAACTTTCACGGAGGCAGGGATATTTTTCTCATTTTTTAAAGTTCCAGTTCATGACAGACTTTATGGGGTGAGTCATAAGAATTTATAAAATAGGCTATAAATACAATCCTTTAGTAAGATCAGAGGTAAGACTGTCATAATATTGCAAGATTACACAATGGGTGGAACTTGATGGAAAAAAAATGACTTAGTTTAAAATTCAGTTTAAAGTCTACCTCAACTATTTCAAGAAGCCCCTTGATGCCTATATGGACATTTCATACATTTTATTGCCTGGTAGACTTTATGATCAAAGCTCCCAATAATTACTAAACAGCATGAAAATCCTGACTCAGCGTAGTCAACAAGCACTCATTAAACACCAAATGTGTACCAAGCACAGTGCTGGATGGATGCCTTTTCCTTTTTCCATCCTACTCTCCTTGGTTTTTTATAGAATGAATAAGAGAAAAATAAAACTCTCAGAGCCTAGGGCATTTTAAATAACACAGCTAGTAAAGAGCAAAACCAGAATGAATACTCATGTTTGATTCATTCTGAAGTCCATGCATAAACCAACCACAGAAAGGTCTCACCTTATTCAAGCATAAGATGGGGATGATCTTAGTGCTTGGCTAAAAGGATTGCTGTGAAGATCGGATGAGATGCTATGTGTGGCACACTTTGCCAGCACAAACTTGTGCTGACCACTATCAGGCCCTGTGTCAAGGGCTCTCACATGATTTGTATGACAGTGACGTCATTGAATGCCTACCTATGTTCTCAATATTCCTAACCAAAAGCCAGGTAATTATTTGTCTTATTTTAGAATACACTGATTTGAGCATCTTATAGATGCCTAAGTATTAAAATGCCATATATTGAAATATATATTAAAGATGATTTATTAAATAAGATGATAAGAAATCAGACCTTTCTTGAAAGCCAAGGAATAAAAGCCTCCATCTCCCATCTTCTTTATAGACCTCTGGATAAATTTTTTTTTTTTTTCGTGAGGAAGATCAGCCCTGAGCTAACTTCCACTCCAATCCTCCTCTTTTTGTTGAGGAAGACCAACTCTGAGCTAACATCTATTGCCAATCCTCCTCCTTTTTTCCCCCAAAGCCCCAGTAGATAGTCATATGTCATAGTTGCACATCCTTCTAGTTGCTGTATGTGGGATGCTGCTTCAGCATGGCTGGAGAAGCGGTGCGTCCATGGGCGCCCAGGATCCGAACCAGGCCACCAGTAGCGGAGCGCGCTTAACCGCTAAGCCATGGTGCCGGCCCCAGAGTAAATTTTTAATCCACCTTCATTTTCTCTAAAGCTCTACTCTGCTCTGTTGCATGAGGGCATGACCTGAGTTTCTGGCTGTTTATTCTTAGGCTACCAGAAGAGTCCTAGGTCACAGGCTCCATGCATGTCCATAATTTCATTACAAAGAACATGAGTCCAGGGTATGACTGCCTGAGTTCACATCT